GTTGAGAATGTTTATTACCACACCGGGGGCACTTATATAGGGGAGTCTTCTTATCCTCTTCTTATCCTATTGTTGTCCTCTTCCATCCTCGTCCTCGTCCATCATTCCATCCTTCTACACCTAAACCGGTCTACCCCCTTACAAGGACAATCCTCGTCGGGAATGTAGAGAAAATTTAAAGGGATTTTCATCCCCAACCCCTGGGGGAAGGATTGAATACCGCCCCAGGTCTAGTCGCCTGTTCTTTTGGAATACCTTTCCATGTTTGTTCAGACGTCGTTCTCCATCTATCTACGCTCTACCATTTCGCGACAGGAATACTTGCAATCTTTACAGTATTTCTGCCCTGCTGCGAAAGAATTTCTGCAGCAGGCCACTGCAGAAATTGCAAGCACTCTTGTAGCAAAAGCTGAACCACAAGCAGATACAGGACATTATTCGATTTACCAACCGTCGAACCCAATTTCCAATTTATACAAAAAGGAAGGAAATTGATGCGTTTGGCACTATTACTGCTGAAAAAAAAACAGAAATTCAGAATCACAAGAACGCTTTATCACAGCACTGTGCACAACACTGTACAAGCTCTAGTTGAAAGCTAAGAATCTATCAAATCACTTTCATCGGATGACCCGACGAATATCTAAAACTCGATTAATTTAGGTACTAAATTAGTAATGTTACAGAGAAGAAAACATTCCCGTCAATGGTGAACATGAGTAGTGAGAACGTTACGATTAATGACGTTAAATAAAAAAGGAGAGAAAAAGGATAACATTAGAGAAAAATGTTCCGAGACCTAATAAATAAGATCTTAAGTGCCAGTGGATCTACACGACCCTACTCCAACAAATTCCAGACACAAATACTAGCTCTTCGCCACAATTTCCGGTAGTTGATCTTTGAGAACTTTCGGTATAGAACCAATGTACTCCTGCAATAAGAAGGGCAATAGCCCGAAATATTGATGCACTGTTTTGTCTACAGTACTGGGCAATAGCCGTGGATATTGATGCATGTGTTGTCACAGTATTGTGGTAGGAAGGGACTTGGAACAAAATACCTTTTTCATCTGACAGTAAACTGATTCAAAAAAAAGGCTGCTAAAAATTTACGGGAACTTATTTGGAAAGAATTCAAAATAAGCCTGTTTAAGACCCTAGGGTGTTCGCTAATATGAACGCATCGCAACAAACCTGGTGATTAACCCATGGTGCCGATGCTAGGACTCCTCCTGTGTTGTTGCGTTGGACTGAGGATTCGTAGCTCAAAAATCTACCGGATATGTCTGTCAGCTGCGCCTACATCGAAATGGATTCATTAATTATGTTATCACTAATGAATTAAGTCAATATTCGTTTTTGAAGGATGATTTATACTCACCGCTAGCTATCACAATCGGCTTCAACGGACATGTATCCCACTTGTTTTATCAGCCGGACTAGCAAGACTTATACGCGGCGCCTTCTTCTAGCAATATTTTTATTTACCTGGAAGACGTTATAGATTGTAATCAGGTACATTCGATTTTCTAAATGTCATGCAAAAAAAACGAATTAGTGGGGTAAAAACAAACGAAGGAGGCGCGTCAGGGTAAATATCATTGCAGAAGACTTGCTCTTTCATATTCTGATTCAGAGAACTTACTTTATAACCAGCACCTCCATATTTCTCGATAACATCCACTAATCCCTTTTCCTTGAGAGCATTTAAAGCATCGATCACTGACTGACTAAGATGGCTTCTTGTGGTCACAACTACTCGTTGAGGTTGAGCTGAAGAAGTCATCTTGAAGACAATGCAATAGAAGGTCCATACCTTTGAAGGGACCTGGTGCTGGAAACCACGAATGCGTGAACGGCGGCGCCATCCTTGTAGTGCCATATCGTTCTGCCTGGTCCTATGTAGGGCTGGTGTTGATGACATGCTACTAGGTCAGACCACGACAAGCGATGCAATTAATACTGTTACGTTTGTTCGAGTGAGTGGAGAATGAGCTTTATTAAGTGTAGCAAATGTTGCGATTTGTTAAGTTTTAGGCAAATGTTGCGGATTATAGTTGAAAAATTATATCAAAAGACCCACTCAAATTGTTGTTCTTAATGGCAAGTGCTACCTCTGCAGTGCCATCCAGAGGATCTACCCAGACGACGACCTGAATGAGCTATCTATGACGACGAAAAGTATAACCAGTGTCGTAAAGAGCTTACATCTTCAGGCTTGACTGACTTCAAGTCTGAGCTCAACTCGTCTTCCAATCGAAGAACATCTACTGCAAAACTCTTCTCGATGCCGCTACATTCAGATGTGACATCCTGAATATTTCACGGTGGGAATTCGTTGATCTAACAGTCACCGTTATCTCACTATGGATAAGCGGGTCTACATTTTACAAAGATATTTCCACATTCCCTACACGGCTCCTTCTCTATCTAACTCTCTCCACTCGGTCGCCGTCTACGATGGAAAATTATGCGCAAACGGGAACAACATTCCATCCCAAATCTTTGTTATTGCACGAGAGTTGGCAAACTCATCTCTTCGTTCCTACTACTAGGGAAATGAAGTGATAAAACGAAAATGATTAAAATTTTAACAATGTACGATAGGTGACCACGAAGGGTCAAACCTGGGAGAATTTTCAGAACCGAATCTTCCATAATACACGAAGCTTCTCGCACAATCACACCATGCCAAAAAGACGGTGCCGATTCATGAACCTGGGTGTGGTTCACTAGGACAGAAAGCGACTTTTCGCGTTTCGCAGCGCGAAACATTGTTCGTTGCGGGAATCTCGGGTCCACTGATGATTCGCTGCGGGAACCTCGGGTCCACTGATGATCAGCGGTGGACCTGAGGTTCCCGCAGCGGAAAATGTTTCGCGCTGCGAAACGCGAAAAAGTCGCTTTCTGTCCTAGTGAACCACACCCTGGACCTGCCGCTACCCCATAACTCCATTCCTTCCCCCAAAACTCCAAGTCTGCCAAGCAGGAAATGGAGAAGTGTGGATATGTAACTCTCGCTGAGCAGAAGTGGGGGATATGTACAAACATTTCACAAGTTTTCGCGATGGTTTCTCAAATCCCAAAATGACCCCTCACACAAGACCCTAATAGATCCCCAGTTGAAATATCAGAAACGAACACTCTTTTATCCCCCTCCCTTCAAAAACCTGGCACAATGGATGGCTGAACCCGTGGCCATATCCGCTT